TGTTGTATTTTGTATTATTTACTTTTTTCCAGAATAACCTGGGTACTTTTACTCAAAACCATCCAAGTACGTCTTCCTCCACTTCTTCACGCAGAAATATGTGGAGCTTCCTCTTCAAGAGTAAATGGCACTGGGTCCACACTCAAACACACTTACAAGTATTATCCATTTGCATATATTCTTGGCTGGTGCAGCTTGCCAGGCTTGCATTGTCTTAGCTCTCTGTGTGGACATATGCACATGCCCGTGCACCAACTGCAGTTTTGTTCTTTCATTAATCATGAAAGGGACTTTATAAGCCCCACAACGTTGGGCTGTGGCCACAGGGGGGGTCGCACTGCAGCACACTTACGCACACGCACACACACACAGAGGCAAACCATCTGTACTGAAAGGTCAAGGGACTAGAAGTAGCCAGCTTGTCATGCTCTCAGTATGCAGTGATGTGTCTGTCTCTATACTCTGCAGCAAATGCAGAGCTTATAGTGGTCATTTATCACACATAAAGCAAGCTGGTCAAGGTGTTTCCTCTGTAGTAATGCTCCTCTCCAAAACACCAATGTTTTAACAGATTTCTGCAGAACACTAGCTCATAATTGGTCTGTTTTTTTTGGTGCAGCAGCCCAGAATAGATCCCTTGGTGACTAATAAAGCTTGTCCTGATAGTTCTGCATATAAAGCATTTGAGGTTTGTGTCTTCTCGTCCAATCCTCCTGCTTTGTTTTACAATTCCCATTTCTTTTTTATGTATTCTTTCCCCCAAAATAACTAAAATATCCTTCCCACTTCTCTACTACTGTATCACACATCTTTTCTTCACCACTTCCTCTCGTCAGCTCATATCCTTCTGTACTCCCCCACCCGTCCCCCCAACTTTGCCTCCACAGACTTTGTGTCCTACTTCTTCAGGAACAGTGCTAGCTTGCTAACTCAGAGTTTACACGGAGGAAGCCCAGGCCGGCAGAGGTGTGAAATTCCCAATTTCAGATAACTGATTCCTGCCGGTTTTTCCCTATGACACCTCCTGGCTATCTCTATCTACTGTGTGATTGCGCAGCTAGAAAAACATATGTATGATAGTTACATATATTATATTTATATATCTATATATATTTCATATAAGACCAAATGTACTCTAGATCATTTTTTTCATTGAATTGCTTGATATGTAGAAAAAATAATTCTTTTTAGCCATAATTTTTTTAATGTAAAAAAAAGCTAAGAGGCTTGGTTTGAATGTAGGAGGCAGAAAGTGTTTAACGTGAAATGAAATGGGTCTGTAGGTGGAGGACAGTCAACCCTTGTTTTACAGTGTGTGGCCTATTTGGATAAGGCTGCCATATTTGCTTAGATGTTTTTTATTTAAGAAAAAAAAGGTTTATGAAAAACACGAGTCAAAGACAGCAATGAAAAAAAAATCTTAACTAACTACTAACTAATAAAGCAAGTTTCAAAAGGTTTAGCAACCTGTTGGCCAAAATCCTGCCCATACAGTGATAGATCATTAGATACACCTTGCTAGTACCAGGTTGGACCCCCCTTTTTGCCTTCAGAGCTGCATTAGTTCTTTGTGGCATTCATCAAGAGATTTTGGATCGTGTTGACAGGATAGTGTCATACAATTGCTGCAGATTTTTCAGCTGCACATCGAGATGAGAATATCCTGTTCCACCACTTCCCAAAGGTGCTCTATTGGATTGAGACTGTGGAGGAAATTGGGAAATTGGGCTCATCAACCTGAAACCTTTTTGTTCATTTGTATAATTTTGGTGAGTCCTTAGGAATAATAGCCTCGCTTCCCTGTTTTCAGCTGATAGGAGAGGCACCTGATGTGGTCTTCTGCTGATGTATCCCATCTGCCTGTTTATGACCTGTTATATGTTCAGGGATGCTCTTTTGCTTACCTTGGTTGTAACAAGTGGATCCCAGCTGATCAGCAATTTCTAAGCTTGTTTGAATTTCAGTGGGTCATCTTGACCATGTTTGCATGACTAAATGCACTGTTCTTGAGTTGTTGCATTGTGATTGGTTGATTAGATATGTGAATTAATGAGCAGTTAACCATTTGTACCTTTATTATCATTAAAGGCATTCAGTCAAAATGGCCATAGTGCGCTTAGAATCACGTGTCACCTTACACAGTACAAAAATTATAACTTTAAGCTTACAGTTAGGCTTTTCTCATGTTAAGAAATAATATTTCTCTCTTGCAGTTTCATCCTGATTTTGTGTTATATCTGTTTACAATTAATTTCAATGCATTCTTGCGCGAAAAAGTAAGAAAAAAGGGAAAGTACACTACCTCCATAAGATGTTTGATTTCTTTTTATTTGTTTCATCTTTTTTTGTTTGTTTTTAACATTTAGCCTGACGCACACAGACACTCAGACGACCACAGTCAGTACCACGGCCCACCCTGCTGAGAGTCTTAACTGCTCTGTTATCGTGGCCTCATCTTCTCAGCAGGGCCACAGAGAACTCTCGTTATGTTGACAGACTCCTGAGCACACCATTAGATGGAGATGAATATGTCATAACGTATGTGCAAGGATGGGACAATGAAGATGAAGCAGCTGGTAGCGTGGGCCTTGGTCCCACTGAGCGTGGTGTGTACAGATAAGGTCAATGTGATGTGGACTGTTTAAGGGACCTGCAGGAGCTTTTGTAATGGACCGAGAGAACGAGGGCAGTTTTAATTAGTGTGGGCTGCTGTCTGAGCTCTCATTCTTGATGATTCAATTTTTTCCACTCTCGTGCTCGTGGCCATGTTTGTTTATTTGTCCTTGTTTCACCGAAATGGCAAAAATACATCATTTTCTTTGGATCCCCGTGAATAATTTGTTTTATCTGCTGATATTTTGACACTTTTCCCATGGATTTAATTTGTTCTGCTCATGGTGATGGAAAATTGCTCTTTTAGTAAAATGACAGTAGGCTCTTGATGTGTTTAATTAAATAGCAAAAAAGAACAAAAATGAGTTTTGCTCCCTAAAAATGTTAAGTAAATAAATGTTCTTGTCTTTCATTTTTACTGAATGGACATTCCTCTTCTGGGATATAGCTATTCAGTAATAACATTTACCAAATAATAATTCAAATTAAATATACGGAGGTTAAGTTGTGACAAAATATTTGGTTTCAAAGGTTCATTGGTTTAAGACGGATTTACACAGTGCAACTGCTTCTCATTTCACATTTCCTTTTGCAAAGTTGTACTTATTTCAATACAGTAGCTAGCTGTTTTTGTTTTTGTTAGCTTATTTTAAAACTGAAGCTTTGCATCTTGGCTTTTTTTGTCTCATAAACAGTACATAAACATAATTTATACCTTTATACCAACAATATACCAGTTTTCTGTTTGTCTGTGTGTGTGCAAAACATGGCACATATCTTAAGCCGCTAAAGGCTCTTATCTATATCAGATATTATAATGTAATCATGTTACCTGGCAACCACCAAGCAATGAGCTAAAATGAAAATTTTTTAAAAATTATTAATTTATGTACCGACAACACCTTATGGATGCAAATGAGGTTTTAATTTCTCAACAGTAACATTTGATTTATATTCACAAAAGCTTATTTGTACAGAATGTATGGTAACATCATCATGTTGCCTAGCAACCACCTAGCTATGAGCTAAAATGACCTTTTTTTTTCTTTTTTTACTTATGCACGTGCCACACTTTATCACCTTATAAAAACACAAACAGGCCAATCAAGCTGTAGCATGGGCTTTTTCTTCAGTAGTAGAAAAAATACATGCGGTACTTTTGGTTTGTCCGTTATTTCCCAAGGGGTCACCACAGTGGGTGGATATACATATTTGATTTGGCATAGATTTTACCCCACATGCCCTTCTGATACATCCCTCCTAATTATCCGGGCCTGGGATGGGCAGTAGGAGTACACAGGCTGTGTCTGTTTCCCCACTCAGTGTCAAACTATGCTAACCGCTACTCCATGAAGCCACAAGTAGTTGATGAGTAGATCAAATAAAGCAGGTAAAAATTATTTGTAGAGCTATTTTTGCTTTGTTATCATGCCAGCCGTATCGACCTATGATTAGTGCTCACCTGTGCTTTGTGTAACTGTTTTTCTGAGTATATGAGAGTGTGCACTCTCTGTTTTTGAGAATCATTGAGTGTTTTTCATCATTTTAAAGTATAATGAGCCAAAAAGGTTTGGGGACACAGATTCAGAGTAACAGGGGAACTATTGGAGGAGTTGATGAGTCGCTCTTATGCAATTTGTAATAAACAAAATTAATGTCACTTCTATATGGATATAAGGAAGGCGGTAGAATTTGGCACACATGTGTCAAGTTGACATCCATCTTTTAGGAATAAAGATTCCTGGTAAAACATGTGATTATATCACAGTTCCTACCCGCCTGTGTCTGTTGATGGTTTATCTGCGTTTCATCTCTGGTTATAAAGAATGAGATACATGTGCGGTTTGAGGGCGCCATGAGGTCACAGCACCATCATTTGTTTTCTGCCAGTGTGCTCAACTATTGATTCTGACACTGATGCTCAAGGCAAATGTCGGCTACGTTTACCCAGATTAATTAAAAAGTCCCTCACGTCACATTGCCCAGAGGTGTGAGCTGGCTCTGTCAATACCAGCAGAGCGTTTAAACTCGAAAAGCTTTTGAGACACCGTTTACAAAGATAGACAGCGTTTCGGTGATATTTTAACTTCCACGTGTGCTGTCACTCAGAGGGGTTAGCTGCTCGGTTGCAGTTCCACAGCCAATCCAGAAAATCAATAAAAAAATTGCCTTGTTTTTGTAAAAATAAATAAATAAATAAAAGTGTAATTGAACCATCTATTAGTGCTGTTCACGTTTTATGAGAATTGGGCAGGGTGGTTAGCAAGGTGAGAGCCAATCACTAAAGCACATGCTTTGCTTATTAATCACAAAAGATCGCTGTTTTTTAACGCCTTCTCTTTACAATGCACACTGACAGTGTCACCCTGCCCTCTCTCCAAAGAGCGTGACAATTATGCCTGCAATTAGAATGTAATTGTTTTCATTATCAACCCAGGTAATGCTGTTTGTCAGACTTTAATGTGGATTGTGCTTCTTAGTCCCACTTGCCCAGAGTTTTGAAAAAGCTGCATGGTTCCTCCACAGTGGAGCAGAAAACACTATATTTAGTAATCTGGTTGAGAAAAAGATAAGCCTGGATGTTAAGAGCTTTTGTGTGGGAACATTTAATTGTTGGCTGGGTTTTTATCTACAGTGCAGTACACTGCAGCAAGCAAATAAAACCACTTGGGACCATAAAAGACAAACATTTTAGCCACTTGTCATATGCACTATTTTATACTTAAAAGGCAGCTGAGACATTATCGGTGGTAATGTTTATCTGTAGAAATGGTTTATAGCTGCAAGCCATCTGAGGAGAGACAGCGCAGATGTAGCGTACAGCTGAGAATGTGAATAGCTGTAGAGAGATGAAGTCTTGATATTAAATCCAGGCCAGCTGCTCTTCCGCATATTTGATATTCTACATAATGATTTCTGGAGTGACACCGTGGTGGGGTCTGTGTAGAGCGTGCCTGCTTGATTCCAAACTTCCTCTCACAGTAAAGGATATCAGGTAATGCTAAACTGGCTCTAGGAGTAAATTGTCTGGTTACCTGTCCATCCAGGGTGTAGCCTTCCTTTCTCTTTTTTACAGCTGGGATAGGCTCAAGCCCTTCCGTGATGCTTGCTTTTCCCATATGTATATTATTATCCCACAATATTTCACTATTGTAGCTGTCATTTTTCCTGCTTATAGTGATTTTCTCCACTATGGTAAGCTGTTTCTGTTCTCTTAAATCACCACTGCCTTTGTAGAAGTGTGACAGATTGTTAGCATTGTTAGGACAGTCTATAGTCCCTGTACATTGGCTACAATCAGCTGAATTCAGTACCAGCCAGGGTCCATCAGCTGATGGGTCTGCTGATACTCTTCTGCACATGATATTGATAAATCTATTTTAAAATGCTTATGCTGCCATTGAATGAGAGGAAGCAGTGATTGGAGACTGTGGCGTGATGAAAGTTATTATGATCGTATGCAATGAACTTGCAGTCTTGTTGCCTTTGGTTGCTTTAAAGATGGGCACCAGTTCTACAACCACTCACACTCAGCTGACATCCTCAGGGCAACTTTGGTGCATGGAGGTGGTGATAAAATGAAAATAAGATACGAGTCTCTCTGTTATCAGAATCAGAATCAGAAAGGGGTTTATTTCCAAATGTTGAGCAGGTTTACAACATTAGGAAATTGCTGCGGTGCTTCAGTGCAAACATAGTGTCATAAATAGCACTTAAATAGACATGAAAAAATAAAAGTAGAATAAGAATTAAAGTGCTACGTAGAAAGATATGTGCATGAGATATACATGAGATATATACATGAGAATAAGAATTAAGAGTGCTACGTAGAAAGATATATACATGAGTGCAGGTGGTGATCAGTGCCAAACATGAAATGACACAGTGACACAGCGTAGGGTCATGTGTTAGTGGCGGGGACAGTCATATGGTTATTGTTCATGTGTCCAACAGCAGAGGGGAAGAAACTGTTCTTATGGCGAGAGGTTCTGGTGCGAATGGACCGGAGCCTCCTGCCTGAGGGGAGCAGGTCAAACAGACTGTGTCCAGGGTGAGAAGGGTCAGCTGAGATCCGAGTTTGTGATTCGGTTTGTGATTGAATGGGTTCAAATTGGCAATTACATGCAATTTGTTTGCAATAATACAGTGAGTAACTGTGATAGATGGGCAAATATCACAAATCTGTTGCCATCTACATCTACAGAGGTTAACCAGAAAATGACATTAACTGATTGCATTCAAAGTCCGCACAAAACCTGATTTGAAACAAAAGTTACTTCGCCAAGGGTAGTTGTTGCAGGACTGCGAATTACCTGTGAAATGACACAGGCGCTTAGCAACAATGCTTTTACAGAAATATTACCAGAATGCAATCAGCAGGCAGCCACCAATTTATCCTATTTGAAAAGAGATTGCATCCTTTCTTTACTCTGGTGTGACTGAGCCATTAGCCCATATACAGTTGCTGGTACCCCTGCAAACTACCTCCACCCCAACACCTGCTTTTTCCTGCTGTTTCTGTTATGTCATAATCAGTACATCACGTTTGATGTCACTGACGCCTGTTCTGTGCTGGGGGTCTTTTATTGCTCTGCAGTGAGACAACTAGGACCCAGAACACTGCTGTCAAATTTCTGCAGACTGAATAAGTCTTCTTTTAAATGAAGTGGTTTTAACTGAAATTCCATTGACCAAGGTTATGATGAAGAGCTGTATTTTTAAATTTGAATTTTAATATTTAATATTTTTTCTTTGTGATTTCTTTTTCTTTCTTTTTTTTAAGAAAAGCACTTAATACTTTGAAGCCACTCTTTAACTTTGCCCAATTAGATTTATGGCAATTTGGTTCAGTTCAGGGTCATTTTGTTTTAATTGTAATTTCATGTGCCATTAAAGTACAATATAAAATTAAAAAGAGCCTGAACGTGGCTTCTGTTTATTACAATTCTTGAGATTAATCGCCTTTAGCCACCCACATCTGTGCCCATTATTTCTAATGTTCCAGCTCCATTATGCCTAACCACTATATTTTTGTCCATGCTTTTTCTCTGCAGGTGATGTTATTGTCTACATCAACGATGTGTGCGTCCTGGGTACCACCCATGCTGATGTGGTGAAACTCTTCCAGTCTGTACCTATTGGCCAAAGCGTGACTCTCGTATTATGTCGCGGTTATCCTTTGCCATATGAGCCAGAGGAAGCTGCCAACACCAACAACAACACCACCACCATCATCTCCCCACTGGGCATCATGGAGCAGCGGCCCATTATGGTGAACGGCAGGACGGGCTACGATAACTACCTAGATTATCTCACCCGCACAGCACGCTTTGTTACAGACCCCAGTCAGGACCCGGTCAGCGCCCAGCAGCAGCTGCTCACTGGTCACCCAGCGGACACCCACTTAGATGGCTCGCTTCCTCCCACCACGGGTACTACGCCACCAGACAGCGTCTCTATGGCATCATCGGGCGCGACCCAGGGAGAGCTACTAACCCTGACCATGGTGAAGGGCGTGGATGGGTTTGGCTTCACGATTGCAGACAGCGCCACAGGTCAGCGTGTTAAACAAGTCCTGGAGCCTCAGGGCTGCCCGGGCCTGTGCGAGGGCGACTTAATTGTGGAGATTAACAAGCAGCCCGTGCAGGGATTCGGTCACACACAGGTGGTGGAGCTGCTCAAGGAGTGCCCTGTGGGAGCTGAGACCTGCCTCTTGGTTCAGAGAGGTGGAACAGGTGAGAAGGTGTTAAAGGTGGTGTTGCTGGCTTTGGAGAAGAGCTTGAATCTCTGTCCTTCTTCCTGTCTGCTTGTTCATTTCTGTCGTCTTTTGCTGGTGTGTTTGCATGTGCGGTTTAGTCCAGTGACAGCAGAAATCTGTGCTACAGTCCCTCAGTGCACAGCAATGACTCACTGATCTTCAGCTGCTCTCAGATGTCCTGCTAAGTCCGCTTTACTGTTCGCTCCTCATTGACAGCAGATTCCACTCCAGCTATACTAGGGGTCCCCTAGTATAGTCTGATTGCGTCTGAAAGCATAAGCTTTTTCTGTGTTATTTTCAAGCCCACTTTCTGATTTTCTTTTTCTTTTCTTTTTTTCATTTTCACATGTATAGTGAATTTTACCTTTTCTACAAGATCCAAATAAAAGCCCGCAAATCAAAGCATGTCAAAACTGGCACAGTTTTTCCTTGAAACACTGGTAAATGGCTCTGAAGTGCTTTCAACTCTGTGTTTTTCAGAATGGGAGGCCCTCTCATACTCTCTGACAATCATAATTATGCACTGCACTTTGTCATGAGTCACACACAGGGCTGTTATTTGCCGAATCTACGTGTAGCTGAGTGTGTGTGCGGACTGGTGGAGGACATTGAGTGTTAAGTGTGTACAAACGTCTGTATTCTTCTAGAAGGCCAGAAACCTTTATATTGCTGTCTTTTAATGGCAATGTCTATGAGAGAGTTGCTGTCTTGTCTTTGGGAAATATACATATGACTCAAATGACAGAGCATAAGTTGTGTGTAAGCTTCCTGTGATCTGCCTACAAACTGAGATTGCCTTCTTATTGAATTGTGGCGGCGGTGCATCTGTCAGCGATGACTCAGCCGAAGCACCGACGTTGAAGATTAAAACGTTAGAGAGTTTAATTAAATCTAGAAACAGCAACAGTGGCTCTTCATCAACCAAGCAGATAGGATCTGTCTCTGGAACCTTATTGTTAAATGTTGTTAAATGACTCCTCTCTTTGCGTTTACCTGTCCTTGATTTATCTTGGCATCCTCTAAGTGATGATGCATGAACTTTAGCACGCTCTCATTTGCAGAGCGAGCTGGAATCTGAGCCAACTCGTTTGGAAAACTGACACTGCTGTTTCTTTTTGTGTGCAACCAATTTGTAGTTCCGTGTTTTGCCTCTTTGTGTAGTGTAATGTCGCATACCAATCATAATGCCAACCGCCTGGGTGCCACAGACACCACTGAGACTCACGCGCAAAGGTCAGCAGCGGCCACTGAATAGATTTATTCCCATTTATTTCTTTATTAGGCTGCCCATGTCTCTGCCAGTGAGAAGGGAGCCAGCAAACAGGGGGGGGGGGAGAATAGAGGGATGACATGAGGTATTATCATGGGAAGATAATGTTTTGGGTTTTTGGGGAGGAAGGGGTTTGTAATCCAAAAAATCTACAAAAAACAGCATCACAAAAAAATCTGAAATCTGGTTGTGTTATGTTAGCGCCAGTAAACTGCAATACATCAGGGCGTAGTGTCGCATCCGATGGCGTTGATTGCCTGTGACATGACAAGTTGCAAATGTGAAAGGTGGAACAAATGTCAGGGCCACCCAGCTTGCTGTTACTGCAGCACAACTACATACGGCACAAATTTGTGTCAAAGTGAGTAAAGTTAAGAAAATGTACCAGTGGGGTGGAGTTTTTAGACATCGTGCATCTCCTGAGAGTATTTTTGGGATTTAAGCAGGAAAATTCTGCCAGACTTTAAGCTTGTTAAGATCAAAGTACACACTCTTCTGAGAGTAAATGATCACAATAAACTATTTTCAGTTTTGTTAGAAGTCTTTGTTGGTAGAAATTAACATGAGAAATGGGGTTAAAGTAGAAACCTACAGATGGTGAAAAATTTGAAAATGCTTAAACCTTTGACACACACACCCCCACCTATAAAGAGTGGGCAGTGGCTCTGTTGTGCTCCAGGGGGCATTTTGCTGGTCACTGCACATTAAAACAGTTGTTCTGGGTGAACATCCCATCTTCAGGGATTACAAGGGGATCATTTCTTTTGTGTCCCTCCAAAGGTTCTATGGTGAATATACCTGTGGTTGAAATGGGACTTTAACATGGGCCTTCATTTCTCTTTCGACTGAATAAAGTCTGAATAAAGAAGTTGAATTTTTTTCCCATCGAATCCCATATTTAAGGATATAGGAGCTGCGTAGGTTTGAGGGAAAGAGACAGGATTGTGAGATCAAACGCAGAGCAAGACATGGCTGCAGCTTCTCCTTCCATGCTTAAATCATTACCATTTCTGACTACGATGTCTGATCCTCTGGGGTTGTGAAAGGAATACTTTGCTTATCAAGCATGTTCACAGTGTTACATGTTTGTTCCTGTTAAGGAAAAGGATGCACTGAACTGCAGAGTAGCAACTGACTACAATGTTGCCAATTTCTGCAAATAAGTAATTGTGATTTCTATTCTTCTCATCCGTAAACTCTCTCCACACTCTTTCACGTGATTCTTGGGTAGATGGTAGAAGAGGTTTGTCATGTTTGGGGCACGAAACAAGCGATAGCGTATAATATGAAACAATAGGCGTTTTAATTTTGTCATCCAATATATTTCATCATATCGCACAGCTCCATTTTTTGACACACAATTTTCACTGACAGAAACAAGATTTGATCAAGAATTACCAAAGTTTCTGTCCATAAAACTGAAATAATCCATGTGCACCACACCACAGTGTAGTCCACAGTGTTCAGGTTGAAGGTGGCACATCAGATGAGGAGTCCTTTCAGGAGCATGATCAACAGTGTTTATATTAGGCTTCAGTCACACAAGCCTGTAGATCATTGGGCGATGTCAACACTCCCCAACTACTACTAGGTGGATGTGAAACTGAGCAGTATGATGTAAAGCAGAGATTGAGAGATTGCTTACCTTCAAGGTTGCGCATTCTGAAACATGTTGGATTTAGCTGCAAAGGGTCTGTTTCCTGTTTCCGTCAGGCCTGGGTGACTGCGATCTTACTTCTCACATAAGGGAACAGCAAAATTGTATATCTCAGTTAAAAGGTTTTATCTTTTATGGAAAGATTAGATAGCACCAATCTTAACTAACAAATACAACATTTAACAACAAGTTGGATGGCTTTCAATTTTTAGTTTTGATGATGGAACTACCACTTTGTTTCAGGGCAGGGAACAATTGCTTTGACTGCTGTGGCCTTAAAATAAATAAATGTTATTAAAAAAAAACGGGGCAAAATTTAATTGCACATTCACTTGGAGAAGAACAAGCTGGATAAGCTGCACGAATACGAGCTGAAATTGGAGCACCCAAGCACAAAAAAATAATCTGTTCATCCAGTGCTTGAATTCACACACAGCGACACAGAGAGAGGAAGACTGGGGTCTGTGGTGAATTTTGATAAGAGATCAAATAATTTCTAATGATGTTAATGTTTACCCATCTTTCTACATTTGCTGAAAGCCAACTGTGAGTTGATAAAAAATTTTAAAAATCCTACACGTGGGAGGTAAAAAAAAAAAAAAAAAAAGATAAATGCCAAAAGGTGCACACACAGTCAACCATCTGAAACGCATTAGGCTACATTTGTTCACCATAAAAAAGATCTCTTTAATTTTACAGTGAGAGGCTAACATTAGCCCTTCAGTTATTTAAACGAGACAACGATAGCACTAGAAATGATGGTAGAGTGTGCAAATGTTTTGGCCCTTTATAAAAATGTATCCTCATATCATGAAGGAGCCTGCCAGCTTCACATCAAAGCTACAGCAGAAAACCGATTCTATCCACTTCTATTGAATCAATTGTTTCATGTTGGTCTTGTGTTTTAAAAAAAAAATCCGCCTCATTGCAGTTGTGTGCAAAACAAAATCATTTTCTAGGTACACGGTTGAATATGCGTGATATTAAAGCAGAATTTATTCAAACACGCTCGTGCAGTCACTGGGTAATCACTCCATCCCATTAAAAGCCAAATAGGAGCACTTGATTTGTTTAAGAGGCAACCGAGGTCAGTGACTCTACTCCTCCCACAGACAGGAAAGGGATTCAAAGCACAATATAGAGTTCAGTGGTCTAAGTTTGATGGCAATAAGGCTCCCATCGCATTTTCTACTTGATATAATCTCAGCATTTCGCCCTTCATGCACAATACCCCCTGGCTCCCTCCCTGTGCCGATAGGAATGGATATTGATCCCTGGCGGGCACCGCCTCGGCTTTGGAACCGGTGGGGACAGAGCTGCAAGTGTGAACATGGCAGACAGACTGTGGCTTACTGGCAGAGAGCCGAACTCATCGCTCTCTTGCTCTTTCCTCCCCTTCTCTTTCTCTCTTTTGTTTCCAACTATTCCATCTTGAACACACACAGCCAATGAATCACTGTCTAGTTACACACTGATTCCCTGGGAGGCTAGAGGAGGCTCACTGAATCAAACCCTTGTTCTTTTCTTCTTTTCCTTTTCTAGAGAGCAGACCTTCACCTGAGGTCTGCACGGTTTCTAAAGCAGCTGGTGGTCACATGAGGCGAAATGTCAAACCAGGCATAATGTACAGTTTACTCATGGTACTACTAGCAAGGGGAGTTTATGTAAGTGTGCGGGGGCTTGCGTGCAAAATTTGCCTGGGGATCTGTGCGGATAAGATGAGGAAAGTGTGTGCCTGGCTGTTGTGTAGGTGTGCGCACAAACTGTGTGAATCAAACCATGTGGCTCGGCGTTTGTGCGAGTGCGTGGGCGGGCAGCAGTGAGGGAGAATGTGGCATGTTAGTGGAAGCTAAATGGTCGAGCGTACATGTGAAAGAGATGATAGTCTCGGCAGCTAATTACAGCCCTGCATCTCTGCTGGTGTTGCAACGAGGACACAGACTGTTAATGGTCTAGATCGCCACTAATGAGCCTGTCTGGCATGCACACACATACACGTGCCACCCATACACACAGGCACAATAATTACTGGTGATGAGCGACAGAGTGG